CCCACTTCTGTATGCATAAATAAATAAATCTTTAAAAACAATAAAAAAAGAAAGTAAACGATGGACTAGGAGATGATATTTGCACGTTACATGCTTAACAAGGGGGTAATTTCCAAAATATATAAAGAACTATACAGCTCAGTAACAATAATAAAACCCAATAAAAAAATGGATTCTTCTTAGTTACATCTGCCTTTCCCTTTCATACCTGTGATCACTTCTCCAGACTAGGTTCTGATGTCAGACTCTTGGTATTATAATCTTTAAGTGGTATCCATATACTAAGACATTTTCTTGAATAAAATGAATCCCTTAATATATTTTTATGTCTGCAATAGCAATACTGTTTGCAATCAATAAATGAATTTAACATTTCCTATTTCCCTAAAGATTATTTTTATACCAAAAATCTATTTTATAAAAAAGGAAATAAAATACTTGTCTCTGCTTTTTTGCTTCATCATGCATCCAGTTGGACTTTCTTTGCCCTCCCATGGCCCCATTTTTCTCATTTGCAGGCATCTTAATGTGAAAAAAATGTCATTATTCAATTTGGCTAATTTAAAGGAAGATCTCAATTACCTACTGATTGATTGCATAAACTAACAAAAAGCAGCCAAATGCTCGGAGCTAATATTCTTTTCATTAAAAAAAAGTTTGCAGCTGTTTACTTTTGGCTTAAATTGGAGTTTTTGCTTATGCAGGGCAAATTCTCACCAGCCTCTCAGTGCCTGTGTTGGAGCCTATTTCTGTAGTTCATGAATCACCACTTGCAAAACACAGTGGAGTGCACAGCGAGAAGTTCCTGCCATGTGAACCCTCTCTCCATATGAAACCACTCTCTCCTCTCTTACCTCTCTGTCTTTTAAATTTTATTAAGTCAGGTTCTTCATGATCATCTAAATTTGCATGTAGTACTCCACCTCTAGGATATTGTAATAAAATTTCTCAGATTGATCAGCTGGTCCAGGTCTAGCCAGCACACTTCTGTGCATCCGTGCTGATCGCTAATGGTCTTTTTACTTGCTTTCCAACCCCAGCTTTCCCATTAGTTCTCTAGACCTTCTTTGGGGTTTCTCATTAATTGGCCTGAGCTGGTAAACAGTGGGTTTGCAGTGAAGTAATCATATTGCCTTCTGTGTCTAACTGATGAGATAGTGCAAGAAAAACTTCTAAACTAGATTCATATAGATGTAATGTCTGGTTCCCAATTCTAGCCTGAGCATCACTGTCCCAGATCTCCCTGAGTGATGGCGCATGTGTGGCCAAGGCTGAGAACCAGTGATGAGCTCCCAGAACACAGGCTCTTTCAGTCATGCAGAGGATTGGTGACTGCAATCAATAAATTTAAATCCCGCTTTTGTATCCAAATAGATCTTATAGGCTAATAATAAATATGATTCTGTTTGTAAGCAGCTTGTAATATGTCACCTGGAAAGCTGATATAATATAATTTAGCCTATTTCTTAGCAAACAAGTGAAGAGTATAGGAAGATCAGCAAAGAAAGAGCAGCACTCTTATGTCAGGGTGTAAGGTAGGAAAGCATCCTGATTATGGACTTCAAGTTCTGCAGTGACAAAAAGGCACTGATTTACTAGACCCAGCAGGGATATGATATAATCCACTGTATAAATTAATTAATTTTACAATGAAGTGTCGTATAGAAATTATAACATCACATTTGGAATACACTTTTGACCTCTTTTGTACCTATGAAATGATTCATTATAATCCAATTAAATTAAAATGTAAAAAATAGAGACATAAACATTGTAAAACATAATTTTTCAAGCAGTGCTTTTGCAACTATAGAATTTTATACTACAGAATTTTAACTATAGAATTTTAACTACAGTCTCAGAAAACTGTAGTTAAAATGGTCAGAATTTTTATTAGGTCTTATGTCTGTACCTTTTAGTTGCTGTTCACGATATTGAACTAGAAGCAATAATGAGAAGATACTACCAGAATAAACTATAATGATTTTTATATATGATAATTAAAAACAAAATCAATCCCAAGACAACCCTGCAAAAATTATTTCTTATTTTTATTCAAACATTTTAAAATTTGAAATTTAATTGTTATTACTTAAAGGGTATAGTATCACATATAAAAAAATTTTGTGTGTGTGTTAAGTCCTTTTCTATAAGCTCCTTAAATATTCCCCATGACTTTTAGAATGGAATTGCTAACTAAAGCCTTTCAAAAATTATTTTGTACTTAACACAAACATTCTACCACAATAAAGTATGCATAATATAATAAGGAAGGTAAACCCTAGTTTAATAACTGCTCTCCCCTTCATTGCCAGGAAGGGTGCCCAGAAATGTATAGAAGAGAGGGAAATAGTATAATTTAGTAGCAGTTTATTAAGTGACCATTATACAGTTTAAGAAACAGAGCCTCTTTCAAATATTCTACGTGAAAATACAATAAACACCCCAAAAGAACTTATGAATTAAAGAACAGGATATGGCATGCTTTCCCTCCTTTAAGAAAGATGGGAGAGACAGAAAACATAGATACCTGAAAAGCAGGACAGAATATTGAAATTACTTAATAGAGGAGCCAACCACTGTGGCAGTAACAATTATTGTGAATATTGTAAATGTGTCAGCAGCTTTAAAAGATTATTTCAGGCCCTCCCTGGTGGCGCAGCGGGTTAAAGCACAGCACTGAGAAGCTTTAGCCACTTCCACATGAGTTCGATTCCCGCCTGCCCCCGGAGGAGACCACATGGCGTGGCAGACCTCTCCTGACCCGCCCGCTGCTCCCCTCAGCAGTGTACCTCGTCCATCTGCCTGTTCTGCTCCCCGCTCTGTCTCTGGTGAATCCTCTCACCCTCCGCATCTCTGGCCTGTACCCCAGTTCTGTATGAATAAATAAATAAATCTTTAAAAAAAAAAAAAGATTATTTCAGCTGACAGGAAATCTAGAAATGCTTAATGAATTAAGAATATTTGAACTTGAATATTTGAATTAAGTGTTGGAAGTAAAGAAGTACTTCGTGGAGTAGACTTGTGTATTAAGAAAGAGCATTCCATGTACAGGGAGACAACTTGGATAAAAATGGAAGACAATTCAGGAAAATAAAATGCATTGGTGGAATGGTTTGTGTAGATGTGACTAATGGGTAGGAGACAAATTGTGGAGGGCTTTTCATGAGAAATTAAAACTGTTCCCTGTGGGATGGAAGGCTCTTAAAAAAGTGATGGACCAATCAGGCCTATTTTAGTGTGATTACCTCAGAGACATTATATAGAATAACCCAGAAGGTAGGGGCTGGAAATTGAGTCTGGGAGATGGGGAAAGTATGAGCCAAGACCCTAGAAACAAAAATGGTGAGCTCAATTTGGAAAACATTATGGATATCAAAAAAAAGAACAGCTTTTAAGTTTGCTTGTAGGTGAGGAATGAGAAGAGGGGACAAATTTCATCCCAGAGCAACTAGATATACATTTTATAATAGCGATATTTCTAGAAAATAAAATATTTGCAAAACAATACAAGAAATTTCTGGCAAATTTTGAAGAGAAATGTTTTCTTAATAATTACATTGTTTGGCATGCTTGGAAAGAGAATAAGGTAAAGAAGTAAGTGTGAAAGGGTTGAGAGAAAAAAGCAAGTAGAGGAAGCTATAAAGGAAAAGGGGGCCTTAAAATGTGAATGATAATCACAACTATGGTGATGGCACACGGGTGATTTGGTGATGGGAAGCCTATGAGGATTACAACTGAGATGGAAAAAGGCAAAAAACGATGTAAAAATAAACATTATTTTTTAAAAAGTGAATGATAATCACAGTCAGGAGTTAGGGAGCCCAGAAAAAAATTTAAAAAGTTAGAATGAATGAACGTGAGAAAGTGTTAAATGTGTGGCATTCATGGAAAATCCAAAGAGTAAGGAAGTTAGAAAGATGACCATCTAAAAGCACTGATCTAAATGGATAACTGTGATTTTAAAGGACAGAGGGTGGGAACTGATGTAATCTTGAAATAAATGTGTTCACTATTACTCTATTATTAAAATTATATAACAACAGAAATTGTGACTAGATGCAAGGTTAATTATTGATTTCTATTCCCAAAAAAATAAACGAGTGAATTCTTTATTAATTAAGTGATGATTCATCGGATTTACCATGCTTTACCAGCCTTGCTGTCTGTCAGTGATGTCGGTGACACTGCAATAGAAACCCACCAACTTGAATCCATAGGATTCTGCCTTCCCCAGCGGGCTGCAATGTCAGGCTTTGGGCATTAGAGGGCACACTTAAGCTAAGATGAAAGAAATGTGTTCCGAACTGTGCTGACCTAGAAAACAGGACCCCAAAGAGTCCTTTCGTTCTAGACAGAATCTTAATTTTCAATAATGTAGGGCTCCATTGAAAGAGAAAAAAAAAAAGACAGTATACACTAGTTGAAAATTTCATTGACTTTTAGATATTTAGAAAGCTTTCTACCTAGTTATTAATTCCTGTGAAGATCATTTTCATACGCAATTAATTAGAACATAAAATTTCTCCTCTGTTTCTGTCATAGTAAAGCAAGAGAAAGGTCATTACAACATCTGTGGTCCAAATGTAATCCCACCAGAATAACCGAGGGGACAAATACAAATGGATCTTACTAGCTCATTGAGCATATAGCCTCATTCTTGTAAGGGTTGAAACACATTCATCCACCTCCATGTCACAGTGCCTGCCTTGATAACCTGGGATACAGAAGCAGGAGTAGCCATTGAGTCCTTCTGGCGTGTTGCCCCATTGTGGCAAAGGCTGGAGCACACGCATCATGATTCACCTCAGACTCTTCCAGCATGTCCATCAGGGCAGTTGCAGACAGGATGAACAGGATCCTGACCGCAAATACCTCCGTGTTGGCAGAAGTTCATGCCACAGGAACCAGTGGCAGTTTTACAGGTTGTCCCACTATAGCCAGGAGGAAATTTGCACAGGAAGCTCTTTTCTCCTGGGGTTTACACACAGTGGCATTTCCTTGACAAGGATTAGAAAAACAGGGATTTTTCACACTGTCAGAGTCTTTGTCCAAATTAATGACCGAGTCTGAACAATGGCAATTGTCTTCTGAAAAATCATTGCATGTAGAAATGTTTGGCAAGAATTTGAGAGGCACCTTATGTCATTTTTATTGCAAAGGAAATCTACAAGGGAATAAAAAATGTCAAAATGAAGATTATAAATAAGTAGGATAAAATTAAAGAACTTTCATTTCACTGCCCATGTCACTTCAAATTCATTAGTGAAATATAGGTGACAGCATTCTAACAACGAGTTTTATCATTAATGACAAATTTTTTATATACTTGCTAATAAGAAACATAAAAATGGGTCATTCAAGATTCTTTCCTTCTCTGTTTCTCTAATGTTTAAATATTGTTGAGCAAGGACTAAATTGAAGCAACTTACAAATTATCCTATATTTTAAAATCACATTCTCCCATGAAGAATTTTGGAGTGTGCTAGAGGATGAAATACAGATTGTTTCAGAATAGAATTCAGTGTATAATTGAAACTAGCATTTGAGTAAATACAAAAACTTGTTTTGGGACTGCTTTGCCACAGTCACCACTTGTGCTCTAAAAAGAAAAACGTAGAAAAGTGAAAATGTAAAAATGAAAATACCAACTATTTATTGAAAGTCTTCTCTCTGCACAAAGTGTCAGCTATTACACATTTATTAGTTCTCAGAGCAATAGAATTTTATTGTATACATCTTACGGGTGTATTATTAAGTCTTACTGCAAGGAAATGAATATAGAAGCATTTATTCACAGCATTTTTATTTTATTAATATTGTACATTGAAAAGCTTTATGATTTGGCAACCCAAGAGTATCTGCCTATGAAATAAAAAAAACTGGTTTTTGCATGTGCATTCATCTGATACATCATCCTCTTACTTTTACTCCCTTTCTTACAATATTGCTCATGAATAGGTACAGACATAACAAAAAGTTGTAGTGAATTTTCTCTTATGAGACATAAGTTAACTATTACCTAAAGAAAGTATCGTGTGAACTTTGAGAAACCAGTAATGATAGGTCTTTTCCTTCTAAAATAGAAAAGTGGTTCTCTCTAACACAGCCTTGCTACCAACAGAGTGATGAAAAGATACTGAGAAGAAATGACTGGCTCCTCACACAGGAGTGAAGACATTTCATAGTATATGTGAAGTTGTCTGGCAGAATCTGCAGATAAAAGTTAATATCTGCAAAAAAAAAGTTAATATCTGCTTATGTATTATCAGGAGGGTTGATCTATAAGCAAATATTTTCTGTTTGCTATGGGAAAACCAAGCAAATTGACTTTTTACTTTAGACTTTGTATTCACAATCTTTTCTATACAATTTAAAGACAGTCTGACCTGTGTATAAAAGACAAGGGCTAAGTCATTTGCATAGCATCATATAGAGATGGAGTTTGAATCTCTGGTCTACCATTAAAAAATCCATTTCTTTTCCCTGAATAATTTATAGATAAGGTATTTACTGGGTTGAGCTTCATCTTAAACATAGTGATTTTCATCTACATGTTTACTTCTTTTCTGTTCCAAAATTGCATGGGAGACAGGAAGTGGAGATGTCACCAAGATGGTGACAAAAGGAGTTTCTTGCTATGACCCTAAAAGGAATATCTAATAGTTAATCAGCGGGACACTACCCTGGAAAATCTCGTGGATTGGGGTGAAATTGAAATACTCATTGGTCATCAGAGGACAAAATAGGCTGCACATAGGTGACACAAAAGAGAGCTATCCATCACTGAGCTGGAGGTAGGTAGAGAGAATTGCCTGGAAACTGTGTCCAGTGGCTTTACTCAAAGAAATAGAAAGAAATTTATATGGAACTACAAAAGACCTGGTATAGCCAAAGTGATCCTGACAGAAAAGAAAACAAGGTGTCTGTCATGGGCTTATACACCAAACTGTGCTTTAGAGCTACAGTAACAAAACAGTGTGGTAGTGGAATAAAAAGAGACACACAGATCAGTGGGATAAAATTGAGAGCCCAGAGATAAAGCCATACTTAGTTATATGGGTGGTTCATTTATAACACAGGAGCCAAAAGCGTACAATGGACAAAACAACGACTCTTTAACAACTAGTTCTGGGAAGACTCAACAGCCACATGCACAAGAGTAAAACTAGACCACTCTCTCACATCATGCATAACTTAAAATGGATCCAAAAAATGGATGTAAGACCAGAAACTGTAAAATAAATCAAAGAAAACAAGCAAAACACTCTATGCTTTGGCTCTATATTTTGGCACTCCACTCCAACGGTAAGGGAAACAAAAGCAAAAATAAACAGATGGGGCTACACCAAACTAAAAGGTTCCTGCACAGCAACAGAAATTATTAAGACACGCTACTGAAGAGGAAAAAATTTTTTCATGCCCTACTTCTGACAAGCTAATATCCAAGATCTACAAAGAACTCACACAGCTCAACAACCAAAAAGAGAGAACCCAACTCAAAAAAAAAAAAAAAAGAGTAGAAAATCTAAATAGGCACTTATTTGAAGAATGCATACAGATGACAAACGAAACATAAAAAAGTGCTCATTATCACTTTTAACATCAGGGAAATAGAAATCAAAACCGCAATAAGATGCCACCTCATAGCTATGAGATTGGCCTCTATCAAAAAAGGGGTGCTGGCAAGGGTTTAGAAATCAACTCACTTTCTAATAGTGGGAATTAACCTTATACTGTTAGTGAGAATGTGGACAGTCCAATCCCTATGGAAAAACAACATGAGGCTTCTCAAATATTAAATAATAAGCCATGATATTATCCTATGTAGCTACTCACATAATACAAAAACACTAATGAAAGGTTGTAAATGATGTTGCAGCACTATTTACAACATCCAAGTTATGGAAACAAATTAAATGCCCAGTATGGCTGAATAGATTAAAAGTATGTGGAAGATAGATAGACAGATAATGGAATGCTATTCAGCTATAAAAACTCAATGAATCCTGTCATTTTTTACAATATTGATGGAACTGGAAGGGATTAGGTGAAACTAAATCAAGAAAAAAAATATTGGGTTATTTCATGTGGAATATAAAGAAAGAAATAAGGAACCGGTAAAATTAAACTAAAACAAATTAGAAATTTGATTACAGAATTTAGACTATCGAGGGGCAAGGTCAGGGATGAAGATTGGGGCGAAAGAGTCTCCAGTGGACTATGGTGGAGAATTACTGCTGCTTTGGTGGTGAGTTGAGTTAGTAACGTATATCTGAAGAGCTATATCCTTATGCCCCCTCTGTTGTTGTTGTTGTTGTTAAAGGTAAAAATAAAATTTAAAAAGTAAAAAGAACATGCATATATTTAAGGGTAAAAAAGCTAGGAGGGAATGGCAAGAAGCAAATTGAAAATGTTCAACTTCCTTTATCATGCAGGGAAAAGGAATTAAGTACAGTATCACTTCACACCCACTAAAATGGGTAAGTGACAAAAACTGACACTAGCAAGACTAGGTGATGTAGAGACGGGGCTGGAACTCCCATCTGTCCCTCCTCTCTGACCTTAATAACTGGTGTTATCAACTCTTAGTCTTTTCAGAAATGACTGACTTTGTAGTTTCTTTGTATCTTTTCTATTTTATATATTTCTGATTTTGCCTTTTTATTGATATAATTGAATTCTTTTAGTTTAGTTTGCTTTCATTTTTTCAAGTGTCCCTTTAAGTTTATACAGTTAATATAAAAAAAATTCCCTCTAAGCATAGCTTCCTGTGTTTCTTAAGATTTTTTTTTCATTATCATTCACATAAAAATATTTATTCATTTCCATTTGACCCATGGAAAATCTATAAAAATCAACCAGATCAATTTTGTATTAATCAGCTACTCTGTAGTATTGTTTGTTTTTTCTATATTTGCTCTCTTTATTTCAATTAATAAAATATCACAGTGATTATGAATTCTCTATTTCTCCTCTTAATTCTGACAATTTCCGCTTTTATATTCAGGAGCTATAGTCTTATGGTCATTATAAGAATGGCATATCATCTTTACCAGCCTTCTAGCTAGACATTCATATTTCCATAAAGTATACTTTTTTTAAAATAATGCTTCGTACTTTAAAAGCACCATTTTACTGTTACTGTTATTGCCATGTAGGTTATACATCTCACATGATTCTGCTAGGAATCTAAAAGGGTGTACTTTTGAAATGTCTTATAAAGTTAAATATACACTTATCATATAACCCAGCAATTTCCATACCTACATATTTACCAAAGAAAAATTAAAATATAATGTTGATCCAAAACTTGCTTGATAAAATCATATTAGCTTTATTTATAATGACCTACCCTGGGCAAATGCACATGTCCATCCACTGGTGAATGCACCTTAATGTATTCACATGTTGTACTACTACTCAGAGGAGCAAATTACTAAGTCACAAAAAACGTATGATGAAACCTTTAAAATATGTTTAGTGAAGGGCCAGACACAAAGCACCAGAAAAAGTCATACAGCAGAACTCATACCTGCTGTGTGCATCCATTCTTACAAATGACATTTTCTCGAAGGCAAAATTATATTGATGAAAACAATTCAGAGGTCACCGAGGAATAGAGATGAGCGAATGGAACAAATGTTAAAGACTATTTTTTATGGAAACTTTCTGTATCACAATTCTGGTGACAGTTGTTGACCATATGCATTTGTAACTAAAATTTGGTGACTTTAATTATAAACTATGGCTCAATAAATCAGACCAAAAAATTATTAAAATAAATAAAAGGAATTAAGTTGTTATAAACTCACAAGAGTTAGTGTAGAGATTGAGGGCATACATTTACATTCATGCATACATAAATGGAAGCCAGGGTATTTATTGATGGATAAGCAGTAGCAGACAGCATACCAGGCTAAGCAAAATTCAAGTAAGATAATTCCAGAACTAAGTCAGTTTATGTCACAGAATCCCAGAAAGTTTCAGAGATTCAAGGTGTCAAGTGCTTTTGAAATGAATGTGCAAATGGTGCTGAAAATAAGCAAGTGTCTGAAAATTTCATCAAAATACAATTAAATTCTCAAATCCATCTTTCATCATTTCTTCTATAAAGGTAGATTCAGAGACACAGGCATAATGGCTGGTCACAGCAGTGTGGCTGGG